ACAAAACCAACTGGACTTGGAGGAGGTGCTTTAGCCTTTTGTCAGGTAATTGGGGGCCTTTTGGATTTCTACAGTGGCTGTGGTGTATGGCGTGGGTGTTAGCAAACTCCACACAAAGGCAAGCCTGGCGGGAGCCCACTGACTAGGCCAATCATTACTGGCTTTTCTGCTGGAAACAGGGCCCGGGCCTTGCCTTGTGATGTACCGGCCAGAAGGCCAAAGGAGATTGGAGTGCTTGGCTGTGCTGGGTTCAGCAAGTCCCTGCATAGAGAACTGTAGGGAAAGTTATGTGGACTCTAAGAATGGGGAGAGCACTGCTCATTCCTTATGTCTGGGTTGAGTGCAAAGAAATATAAGCGGAGATAACTGGCCTTGTGTGGCATATGTTGATGGGGGTGGGGGGAAGGACAGATGCCCCCAGCACCCTACTGCCTTTGACAAAACTGTTCTCTACTGCTGGTCAAGGTTTCCCACCTCCCCTCCCCCGAAGCTAAATGTTCTGCTTGGAAACCTAGTTCCTTCAGTGATTCCCTATTTCAAATAAAAGGATTTAAGTTGACGTATGACCACGTGAGCACATAATACAGCGCATTATTGTGGCATTTGGAGCGGAGACCCGGGCGGCTTCGCCTGTGATTACGTTTTGTAGATTCTCTACAGAGAGAGCTTCCCCCCCACCCCCACGCACCCACCTCCTCCTTCTCCTTCCCCTTCTCCGGAGAGCGCTCTCCTAGCGGGTTGCAGTTTTCAGTGCTCATGGAGCGGTTCTGGGCCAGCTAGCCGATGGGACTCGAGGCCACACCAGAAGGATGGAATTTATTTTAAGGTATTTCCGTTGATTGTTCATATCGAGAGTGAGTTATGGCTGTGAGAGACAAAGGTCAGGCGAGGAGACCCTGGTTCAGGGACAGGACCCTCAGCCCCTCTCTTCCTTTGTTTCTCCTTTAGAACCGAAACCATCTGAGAGATCCCCAGCAGTGCCTCCGACTGAGTTTAATTCCCTGGAAAGTGGTGGGGGGGCGTAAAGGAACGGGCACTTGGGTGCTAATCGGCGGGCCTGGTGGCTTCCAGCACTAGGGTGGCTTTGTCCACTACAGCGGCGCTCGAGTCCCGGAGCTAAGCCCCAGGCAGAGGGAGGGTCTCAGAGCCCCCGAGCAGCCTAAGCACAAGCTAAGGTAGCCGCCGCTGTGCTCCTAGGTGACGCTGGATGGGGTGGACGGACGCCGAGTGAAAGAGAAAGGGAATCGCTCCCCCACTGCTCCCGTCTGCCGGCCAGGGATGGAGGGCTAGGGCTGACCAGAGCAGCCGGAGCAGCTGGGAGAAGGAAATCAATGAGTGTGCAGATGCGCTGCCATTTTATTGATGATGCTTCAGGCCACTTTGTTCAGTGCTGGGTTGCAGGACGCGCTTTCTCACACACGGGATGGAAGGAGCTGGACCCAGAAGACTCGCTTTTGTCGTCCCCCCCGCACACCCTCTGCCCCACAGGGGGGAGGACAGCTCTGATTCAGGACAGGCTCAGGGTGGGGGCAAGAGTGCTGCATGCCCCAAAGCTCTGTTATTCTAATGCTGGGGACACAGAGGCAAGAGGTAGCCCGAGCTGGGTTTGGGCTTCATCATGAGCATGGCCTGGCCCCAGCCAGCTTGGAGAGTTGGAGGGCTGGCCGGGGCACCCGAAGCTGGAGGGAAGTCCAGAGGCAGAGTCTGCAGGAAGCAGAGGCAGACTTTCTCTGGCTCCAGAGCCCCAGAAATGGCACTATAGCCAGGGTGGAGGCAGAGGGAGTTAAACAGCGTCTCTCAATTACTGGGAAAGCCCTAGCTAATTGGGCTTTGGGGACCCAGCGCTCCTGGGAAAGATGAAAACTCCCGGAAAAGGTGAAGGAAACTTCGTTGTCTTCTGCTCTTGAAGCTCTCGGAGCAGAAGAAAGGGGTGCCTCCCAAGAGCCGGGAAGCAGATTTGCCTTGCAACTTGCTTTTTTAAAAATCTTATTTCTTTTTGTACTTGAAAAAAAAAATCAAATGTGGCTTCCCCTACTTGAGCGGGATTTACTTCCCCAGAACGGAAGGGCTGCCCTGCCCTCCCCCTCTCCCAGCCTCGGCACTAACCGTGTTTAACTGAGGCCATTTCAAGTGCTCTAAACCACCCCTTGGAAATAAAATGTAAGCTTTAATTGCTGTTCAATTACTTGTCAGCATTTCATTTGATTTATGACCTAGTTCTGGCGCATTTTTGACCCAGTTAAAGACTCATAAATAATATAGTTTCACTAGAAAGAATGAGAGAGGGAATAGAGGTTTGTTAAAGGCATCTTTTTATTGTCGCTTCAGTACCAGCAAGCAAAATAAATATCTAAGGAAGGACTCTCGAGCTGGTTCTGTATAGAAGCATGCACAGGGAGAAGAAACCAACAGTCACATAATAGAGCGCCGGCTGGATTTTCCTCCAAGGAAAGCGCTAAAGTCACTCTCTTATAGCTAAACTGTGGCTTATAAAAAAGGCTTAGTCCATTTTCACCCTCAAAACGCCAGCCTCACCCTCACAGGCAAGTGTATTTCCTCATTAATTTTCCTCCCCATTCTGGGATTTCCATGCCTCTTCTTGCCAACAGCTACTCCTCACCCTGGTCCCTGGCTGCACAGCCAGCAGCCCCCCCTCCACCCGTCCCCAGCCCGCGAGGCCCTCCCAGGCGGGTTCACAAGGAGACCCCCGAAAAGGGCACTAGCACGCCTTCCCTATTTCAAATATTCTGCTCGTACTGAGAAAATGTTTTCTTCTGGTCCCCATGGGCAAGAGGAATAGGGAGGACAGGGACTTGGGGGAATTTGGGGAGCCAAAGGGCCTTAGCCAAGAAAACCTCAGTGGTTTTGGTGGAGCCGGGTGAATAGCCGCGGGATTTGCTTAGAAAGGGCAGGCGGCAGTGACGGGGTAGCTCCTGGCAATGGAAAATGGACAGGAGGTGTTTTTTCTTAAAAACAAAAACAAACGAAAAACCTCCAGCTATTATAAATTATTATTTTTTGATCACCTCGCCTGCCTTGCCCCCAAAGCCAGCACTTTGGATTTCAGCAGAGAGGCCCGAACCCAGGCACTCTTTGTGCCAAGGCGCCAGACTACAGCCTTGAGGTCAGCACCCCGCTTCTGCCTGCGGCAGCCCGCGCCCAGAAGCCACCTATTCGGGGCAGGCGGAGCTCCTGCCCCAGCTTCCCCCCAGGATCCCCAGCTCGGCGGGTCCAGCCCCCGCGTTTTGCCCGGCACGGTCTTGGCGCAGGTGGAAAGGTATGCGCCCCGGGCGCTCCAGCCCTCACCTCGGTGCCCTCGGCTCCCTTGGCCCGGGCCGTCCCCTTCCCTGGCAGGTTCTCACAGAGAGCTGGCCATCCCTGCGTGCAGCTGGCTTAGCTGAGAAGGCGTGAGAGTCGCGTCAGCAGTTTGGAGGAGAAAGTGCGGGTTGATTATTGACCCACGCCTTCTTTCTTCAAATGCCACATCCAACCCGGGCGGTTTGAAGAGAAAATGCCGCCGAGCGGATTTTTGCGGCCGGCTCTGGCCTCCTACGCCGCCCCGCTCCCCCTTTCAAGTTGCGCTGCCGCAATATGCCATAAGGAGCGAGTGTTTGCTGTTTTGTGCTCTGTTTACAGCTTTGGGGCGCCGAGTCATAAATCTTGCCCAGCCATAAATGACAAAAACCATTGGTATGCATGAGGCCACCCTGGCCGGGAGTGCTTTTTGATTTCTCCCTTTTCCCTTGGCTTTGTTTTTGCTCTAAGGTGACACTTTGGCTCCCTGACAGTTTAAACATACTACTTATATTTTTAACACCTTCCTTTGAGAAGGACCGGCCGTTGACACCTTGGAATTGCACGAAAGCTCCATTTCTCTCTTTTTGCCACACACATACCCTTGCAGAGTTTGCTTCTGAATCTGGGGAGTCGAGGGAGGCGAAAGGAGGAAGGAAGACTATCCTCCCTAAAGTTGTGGCAATATTACCGGGCACAAGCAGGCCTTGCCTCTGCTTTGCGTCCCTGTATACCACTAATTAGTTGGGGGGTGGGGGGTGGAATACCACAGATGTCCGTTGCTGTTGAGGTCAGAGCTTTGTCAGTCTTTCCCTGCAAGCGACCTGCATGTTTGTACTGTGACACCCCCCACACAGGAGCCAGAGACCCGGGTTTCTAGGCTGGTGTGTACCTGAGTCCAGAGCTTCCCATTTCAGGGCGAGAACACCGTGCATCTCCCCGCGCTCCTCTCCTGGCTGCCAGGATTTCCGTGTTTCTGCCTACAAACAAAACCGAAGGCAGCTCCATTTGCCCTTTGGGAGGTCTCTCGAGAAAAGAGGCCCTATCCGAGCCCCCCAAAGACTGCTTTTGAGGTTCTTCATTGGGGGTGGCAGGTGAGGTCAACTGCCCCAAGTCTGGGTAACTCTCTTCTCCTGTTTCTCCTTCTCCTTGCCCCTCAACTGGAAATGTCCAGGCCAGAGGGGTTACACGGTTTCTCAAACGTATTCCTAAGAAATAGAGCCCGGCAAGAGATCCCCTTTGTGAGAGCCGTTTGTCCTCATTAGCATAATTTTCCAGGACTTTAGTGACGCCCAGGAGCGAGGAGAGGGAGGGCGTGGGGGTTGGGGGGAGGCTGCCCTCCTCCCGCCACTGCCGAGCTCCCCTTCTCGCTCCTGGCCCTCCCCTCGTCTCAGTCCCATCCCCCACGCCGGCCCGCGCAGCCCCAGTCGCCACGGCCACCCCTCCCGCCCGCCCCCAGCACCCCCCCACCGCACCCCCTACCAGCCGCTGCTCCGCGTGTAATATTCATAAGAAACATACCCAAGTCGGTGCCACTAGCCCAGGCAGAGCCCCGCGCCGTGCTAGCGCTTATCTCCGGCCCGCGGCTGCTGCCCTCGGGAAGGGCAGGGGGCGGGGGTGTGGGGGAGGGGTGGGTGGGTGGGGTGGGTGGGAGGGGGGGTCCAAGCCGCCCCATTCCGCCCTGGGCGAGCCGTGCCGGAGCAGCGAGGCGGCCACGCTCTGCGTCGCGGCGTCCCGGCCTCCGGGTCTCCCTCCCGCCCGCCGTCTCGGCTGATGCTGAGGGTCGGTGCCCATCCCGCGCCGAGGGGACCCGGCCGGGCCGCGGAGCCGGGCCGGGGGCCGGAGCCGGAGCCCGAGCCCGAGCCTGCGCTCGCGGCGCTCGTCAGAAGTTAAGGTAAGCAGGGCCACAACCGGCCGCTCTCAGCGCTGAATGGCGGAGTTTACGTCTCGGTGATTTATGGCCGCAGACTTAAATCTCGGTTCAAGAAGAGTTCACAAGCCGGAGCTTCCTTCCCGGCAGTGACTGATACCCTTACACTTCGAGTTCAGGCCGCTTTCCCATCCCCGCCCCCACCGCTATCCTCTCCCCTAGCCCAGCCGCAACTTTCCCGTGGTGGGGAGGGAGGGAGGGAGGGCTGGACAGCGGGACCTGGGGGCGCTTACCCCGGGTTCCCATTTAAACTCGGGGTGAGGGCAGGCTGAGGAAGGGGCGGGAATGGAAAGAGGGAGCGGTGACTGAAGGAAGGAGGTTGAATTTGGGCAGACCTTCCAGAGAGACAATAGGGCTTGCTTCCTGTACTCAACTTCTCCTCCTCAACTCTATTTCAGCTCTTGCACCTGGGGGTTATTGTCCAGAAATGGACCTTTTAGGAGGAATCTCCTCCTGCCCCCAGCCCTTGTTTAGGGGTGCAAAGCAAAGTTTCCTGGCTGGCAAATCTCCAACTTCTTTGCTAGGCTGCAAACTTTGGGGTCCGAGTTGAGGGGCGGGCTGTGTGGGCCCGAAGGTGGTTATCTGCTGACCTCAAACAATAGCGAGCCCTTCGGTGGGGTCTCGGAGGTGAATTCATATTGTAAGTTTATGGGGATCGTGGTTTGTTCTTTGATTTTTAAAGGTATTTTTTGTTATTTTTAAAAGACAATGCACAACTGGATGAAAAGACTTAGGTAAAAAGCAGGTGATGTTGCTTGTGCTAATGGATTAGCAAGTCACTTGAAAGAGTGCACGTTCAAAATAACTTAATTTTGCTTTATCTAATATCTTGCTGCTCAAGTGTCTGGAGTAATTTTCTTAACCTGATGTTTTATTTTACACCAGCCCAGTATCTTAAAAATTTATAATGGCAGACATTAACACTGCCAAATGCAATAGGAACTGTTTTCAGTGAAAGAACAGGAAACAGCCATTAAAGTGCTATTCAGTTTTAAATTTTATTTTACCATATATTTACTTTTGATAATGGTATCTGTAGCTTTCTATCTATTTCCAAAAGCGAAACAGTACTCCAGGGCTCAAGATCACACACAATAACTCTGGATAACGGATGCTGTAATTTTTAATTGAGGTTCTGGAAAATTAATTGTGCCTGTTTTGCAGATGTTGGTCAGATTGTTGGTTTAATAATGAAATCCAAAGGAGTACATTATTAAAGACAAAATTACAGTATAATCATTACTGGTAGATGCTTATTACATTATTTTTTCCTAGTTAACAAAGTGTCTGCTATTCCTGGAAAACTTGAATAACTCCAGGACTCAAATACACACAGTTGGGGTGTGAAGTGTAAAACCATTTCCCTCACGAATTTGTCATTGTAATTTTCTTAAATGGCCAGTGACTAACATTCTGAGTGTGTCAGAGTGTGAGTGTGACTGTATGAACCCACATGGAACTTTTCTGAGCAGAACCAGCGGTTGACCATGCAAAGGTTGGAAAAAAAAAAATGAAACAGATTTTACTTCTGCAAACTGCTTTCTAAATAAAAAATAGTTGAGAAGGCTCTCAATTGCTTTTTAGATTTCCAGGGTTGCCCTTTACTTGGTGTTTCCGAAGCAGGTAAATAGGCCGAGTAACAAATATCAACAACAACAACAGCAGCACACAAAGATCAGGGAACTCTGGCAGGATTTTATGGCTTGTGCTTCCATCCCTCGTCCGGAGCCAAATGACCCCCATACATCAAATTACATAGCAGTTTCTAAGACAGAACTTATTATCGTTAAGTTGGAAGGAGAGTTCAAGCCGTGGTCATGGAGATGAACGCTGGTTTTTCAGGTTCCTGGTGGGTTGTTTTTTTTCTCTAATCCATCATGTTTTAACAGGTAGAATTTGATAGTTGCTCTGAATAACAGCACCTCAGAAAGTCCAAGGCAGGAGGGTCTGGGGACCTCGTGTAACAGAGGAGAAGAGGTGGGAGTGGCTTGCTGGGACATGCCTGAGAACTAGGAAAAGGAGAAGAGTAAAAAGCTGTCCAGGATTTGAGTGTGACTTGCTGGAGTGGGTGTTGGTGGTGGCCTCTCCCCACACAGGATGTTCCATCTAAAGTTTTCTCTCTCCCCTTCTTAGCCACAAGGGGCTCATTTGGAGGTGAGTCCTGTCCCTGCGCAAGGGTAGACTGCCTAACAATCTCAGCTTCTGAAATCCGGTAGGGTCCAGTAGGGCAATTGCCTGGAATTTTTTTGTGCATACCTCTCTGGTCCTGGAACGTCCAAGAAGGGGCTGGATAGGACGTCACCCCGCGTCAGGGCTCTTTTGGCAAATGTAAGTCCTACATCAAGGATTGGAGGAAAAAAAATTGGCGACTCCAGCTCCCCTTTGCCTCCTTGCTCCTTCCCCAAAATTCCCGCAGGGAAAGAGTCGCGGAGCTTGCTGGATGAGGCCAAAGAGTAGAGAGGAAGGGACACCCCGAGTTTCTTCTTCCCTGGAAAAGAAGGATCCCAACCCCGTTCCCTTCTAGCCCATCAGGCCTTTCTTCTTTTGGACTCCAGCTCCCGAGACCAGGCTTCCAGACCTGACTCACTCTTCTCTCTCCCCGGAAAACCCCCCAACTCCAGACGCAAGTTAAGCAAATATTTGTAGCCGCCAGTAAATTCCAGCGGCTTTTTATAGCGCGGCTCTCTGCGCCCGGGGCCAAGTCGTGCTGCTAAATATTGCTGACCACTTTTTCTTTTATGGCTTTCATGTCACTTAGCTATTGAGAGTAAGATGGATTTGCGCGGAGCCCTCACCGCGCGGCGATTCTCACCCCCCAGGTCTGCGCGGGGCGGCCATTGGCGGCGGAGCGTCACGTGACTGCGGGGGCGTGCCAATGTGCGCCCTCGCGGGTGTCAAGCCCCTGTCAGAGTGTGCGATCAAGATCGTGAAACAACGCGATGCAAAAAGCGACCTACTACGACAGCTCGGCGATCTACGGTGGCTACCCCTACCAGGCTGCCAACGGGTTCGCTTATAATGCCAGCCAGCAGCCGTACTCGGCGTCTGCGGCACTGGGCGCCGAGGGCGAGTACCACCGACCCGCCTGTTCACTCCAATCACCCGCCAGCGCTGGGGGCCACCCCAAGGCGCACGAGCTGAGTGAGGCATGTCTGCACACCCTGAGCGGCCCGCCCAGCCAGCCCCCAGGCCTGGGCGAGCCGCCCCTGGCCCCACCGCCGCCCCAGGCCGCGCCCCCTGCCCCTCAGCAGCCTCAACCACCACAGCAGCCCCCTGCTCCAGCTCCTGCCGCGCCCCCGCCCCCCTCTTCAGTCTCCCCACCTCAGAATGCCAGCAGCAACCCCACCCCTGCCAGCGCGGCCAAGAGCCCCCTACTCAACTCGCCCACCGTGGCCAAACAAATCTTCCCCTGGATGAAGGAGTCTCGCCAGAACACAAAGCAGAAAACCAGCGGCTCCAGCTCAGGTAAAGGGGTGCCTTCCGGAGGAGGATCCTCTGGCCTGGCTCCTTGTCCCCAGGCTACCTCCAGGCACAGGCAGCATGGCCTGGAGCGCTGGAACATTCACAAGGATTCACTGCTCCTCCTCTTTCCACCCTACACAGGTTTCCAGAGCCTTTGCAATTAGGGAGGCTACAGGACTCTGCACATAGGAAACCCCAGAGAGAGACCTTTTGGAAGTCTCTCTGGATTTCTTCAAGAGCAAGTGGGGCCTAGGGAGTTTGGCATCTCTTCTCGTTCCACTCTTGGAGTGAGGACCTTTGTGCAGAACAAATCTGAGCGCCACTGTCTTTTTAGCACAACTCCTCATTTTTAATGAAATAGTGACACCCACTTCACACTGAAATGTGGCAGAATAAAAGCAGGCCTAATCACCCTCCAATTCGGAATCAATACTTCGCTTATCGTCAGAGCCTATTTTTAAGTTTTGCTCCAGCAGATGGAGTGGCTGGCTGCCTTACCACCAGGAAGGCCCTGCTCAGACTTAACACAATGAAGGCAGCCGGGGATCTCCTGGGGGAGGGGATTCAGACTTGTCATCCTAATAGGAACCACATGGGCTTCCTGGAACCCGACTCCAGTGGATGATAGGCCCTGGGTCTTGTGGCTTCCCAGTATCCTTGATTGCTTTTGCCCCTGCCTTTTCCAGTTGCCAGTGTTGTTCTGAGAATCTGGGACCTCCCTGAGCCAGGATTTGGAGGACAGGAGGCCACAACATGAGTACGCAAAGCTGGAGCAGGTTGCTTGATGACATGGAGAATCCTAATTAATAGGGCCAAGCATCAGGGGCCTGGGCCTCCCCCCCAGAAATGGATGCTGTTAATGGGACCTCTTTCTTAGGGCAGAGCAGGCTTCCAGATTGTGACTTCGATTCCACCCATCTCCCCTAAAGAGATTAAGTAAGTGGCTAGTCGAGGCAACTGTCCAATCCTTCAGACAGACAGTGAATGAGGGAAAGGTTTATTGAGTATGTATTAGGTGGCACACATTCCATTTGTGAAGGGAATGAAGGTGGTGATACCTGCCCACAGGGAGCTTTAGCCTCGTAGGCCTGCGGGACCATTAAAGGAGTTGGGAAGGGAGTAGCTCCAGGAAGGGAGTACGCACCAGGAAGGCAAACTGGAGGTTCTGCTTTCCTGCCTTTATCCCCCTTAGAGAAGGCTAGCATTTGCTATTTGACTGGTTGAGGGGCCGCCTACCCAGCTGGCTACCAGCACTGCCCAGGACAGAGGACAGCACCTGGTGCCTCCTCCTCCCTTTCTGGGCCCTGACAAATGGAGGGCCCTTTGGGGTCCGGAGCCAGGAGGACCCTGGTTAGGTCAGGGACTGGGCGGGGTTGCGGAGCTGCCCCTGACGCCACTCTTCCTCTACTCTTCTGTCCTGGCAGGGGAGAGCTGCGCAGGCGACAAGAGTCCGCCTGGGCAGGCATCCTCCAAGCGGGCGCGCACGGCCTACACGAGCGCGCAGCTGGTGGAGCTGGAGAAGGAATTCCACTTCAACCGCTACCTGTGCCGGCCACGCCGGGTGGAGATGGCCAACCTGCTGAACCTCACCGAGCGCCAGATCAAGATCTGGTTCCAGAACCGCCGCATGAAGTACAAGAAGGATCAGAAGGGCAAGGGCATGCTGACGTCATCAGGGGGCCAGTCCCCAAGTCGCAGCCCTGTGCCCCCAGGCGCAGGCGGCTATCTGAACTCTATGCATTCACTGGTCAACAGTGTCCCCTACGAGCCCCAGTCGCCCCCGCCTTTCTCCAAGCCCCCCCAGGGCGCCTATGGGCTGCCCCCCGCCTCCTATCCCGCACCCCTGCCCAGCTGCGCGCCGCCGCCCCCGCAGAAGCGCTACACAGCGGCCGGGGCAGGGGCAGGGGGCACACCCGACTATGACCCGCACGCGCATGGCCTGCAGGGCAACGGCAGCTATGGGACCCCACACTTACAGGGAAGCCCCGTCTTCGTAGGGGGCAGCTATGTGGAGCCCCTGAGCAACTCTGGGCCGGCCCTCTACGGCCTAACTCACCTCCCTCACGCCGCCTCGGCCGCCATGGACTACGGGGGTGCTGGGCCGCTGGGCAGCGGCCACCATCACGGGCCCGGACCAGGGGAGCCGCACCCCACCTACACGGACCTTACCGCCCACCATCCTTCTCAGGGAAGAATTCAGGAAGCCCCCAAGCTCACCCACCTGTGATGGTGGGCTCGGGGCTGTGCGCCAGGAGAGCCCCCCTCCCCTTTCCTCTTCCTTTGCTTTTTCTGTTTTAAGGTTCTCCCTGCCCCTCCCTTTTCTCTCTCCTCTGCTCCCTCCCCTCTCCCCGTTTTGTTTTCTTTGGTAACGCGTTTTTATAGTTTTTGTGACGTAGCAATCTTGGTTGCTGGAATGGCTGTCAGTATCAGTAGCGATATTTATCTCCTCCCGCCCCTCGTCGGCCGCTGGCCCTGCACCCTTTACCTTCTCTACTCTTTGATCAGAAACAGGGTATATGAACAAATTTTCTAGCCGAGTTCTTCAATGTGAATTTGTTCGTACATTATGGCTCCCGAGGGGACGCGATTACTTTTGTTTTTTTTAAGTTTAGTTTTTTAATTGCACTTCTTGTAAAGAGCGAGAAAAAAATCAAAGGCGCTTTGAAACAGGGACTCCCTGTACAAGGATAACTAAGTGTACGTCCTTTCGTGTGTGTATGCTGGTGAACAGTCAGATTTATTTATATTTTTTTTGCAAGCATTGAATAATCTAAGTTTTAAATATTATTTATCCCCATCCGTTCGTATTTATATTAAAGAAATTCTGTACCCTGATTGTTCAGAAGGTTTCTTGGGCCTTTTGTTCAATAGTGTATTGGCGTACATAGGAAATTTTTTATTTGAAAGGGAAATGTAATTCCTTTATAAAAAAAAAACGGTAATGATGCAATAATACCAGAGAGGATCCAGCTTTCGAAAAGCAGTGATTTAATTTGTAACATCCGGCGAAACTGAAGAAAACAATCTGTAAACGTGAAAAATGCTACATTTGTTTTGAGAGTTCTACATTCCTTGCTGCTCACACTCTGAGAAACAAAACAAAAAATAATAAAGTTTTTATTCTGAATAATATCCGCGTTCGGAAGGGGTTCTTTGACCGAAGATGGGGTCGGCGTGGCATCGAGGCGAACTGGCCGAGCAGGCCACAGCCGCGCGGCGGCCCCGCCTGGGGCCTGGCGGGGAGGCTCGGCCCGGAGAACGGCGAATCCTCGGGAAGGCAGCGGGGCTGCGGGCCGCTGCAGCTCCGGAGACGCCGAGCGGCCAGCCCGCTGGGCTGCCTGGTTCCCAGCTGCCACGGAGGCCAGCGGCGGGCGCAGGGGCTGCGGAGAGCCGAGCGCGGGAGGAACAAAGGCAGGCGGCCCAGGCGCGGCGGGGGGCGCACAGGTGCCGGGCGGCCCGTCTTCTCGTCCACGATCTTCCTCCGGTCAAAGCCGCTGGCCGGCATCTTAACCTGGGGAACCGCCAGCCACGCCGAGGATGCCGAGCACTTTCTAGGAGCTACAGGACTCCCCGCGGAAGCTTCTCGGCTCTTTATCAAGCCAGGAGGAAAGAGTCGCTTCTAAAATTGCCATGAGGAGCGAGGCGCTCGAAAGAGACAGAGAGGCTCCCCCGGGTCTCCCGCAGAAGAAAAGCTGAGCCCTTCCTGGGACTGCTCGAGTCCCAGCTTCGGCTTCCTCTCGGAATTTAGGATTTGGCTTTCCCTGGATTTGTTTCCTCTCCGTCTTCCCTCCCTGGTTTCTTTTTATGGCCCCAGGGGGAGGGGGCGAGAGAAAGATTAATATCTTTTTAATAAAAGTGTAATTTTATAAGTACTCCGTTCATTTGATGCTGTAGGAGCTAAATATTACATTTCTATCCCTGGGCTGCCTACTGGCTGGCTGGCTGGCAGAGGCAAAGGCAGGCGCAGGAAAGGAAAGTATTTTCATCTTCAGAGTAAGGAATTGCCCAGAGAAGGAACCAAATTCAGAAAGTGCAGACCTCAGAACTGCATCTCCATCAGCATCCGCCTTCAAAGCTGGAAATGAGGAACTACCTGCGCCTGGGGACCAGGAACCTCTGATGTGAGAAATAGATCCCCCTTCTCCTTGAATTCTGTGTTTCTGAGGCAGAGGTGGAAAATGTCGCCATTTTGTTTGCAATCCAAAATATCCATCTTCAGGGCCTCTCTCTTCCCCCTGAGAAGCTCCCTCAGATTATCTTTAGAAACAGGCACTGGAGCCATTCCCGGGTACCTGCGTACCTGCAGGGTCTGCGGGAACTGGTTTTAGGAACCCTCCTCACGTTTTAAGAAAAAGAAGAGGGATCAGAAGATGCAAACCCAGACAGCCGTAAAGATCTGGGTATTTCTCTCACAGCTGGAGGTGCTCCCCCCCCACCCCCCCCAACATCTGTCCTGGGCCTCCATATATATATATATATATATATATATATATATATATATATATATAGACTTTGGGCTACAGAAGAAGTGGATTTGGTTGACTGTGGCGCCTTCAACCTCCCTGCTGAAATGTGGTGCATCTCAAAAATACAGAGGCTGGAACATTAGTCTTTGTCAGGACTGGAGCTTCTGCCCTTCTGGTTGTTCACCTCTAAACTATGCCGGCTGAACAGATTCAGGAGCCTTCTCTTAAGTAATAATTTTAGAGAAATGCATAAAATTAAAATTACCTGGGAAATAAGGTAGAGTGTCGGTGGGGGGGGGGCGAGGGGGGAAGAAAGAGATCCACTCAGAGAGAGGAACATCTTTCAGAGATTCCACTCCTGGAACCCATTCCTAAAACCTACTCTTCAGCTGAGGGAGGACTGGCTTGGAGGCGTCCTCCTTCCCCCAGGGCAGAGATTTTAAAATGAGATTCCAATATGATTTTCCACACCTTGCCAGTCAAGACATTCATTTTGGCTTTCAAAAAAAAAAAATCCATCTCACCCCCAGCTTCCTAGATATTAAAAAGAAATCCTTATTAAAATAGCTCCTGAGTTAAAGTAATAGATTTGGGGAAGATTCCAGTGTTGAATGGTGAAAGCAAAGGGTTTTCTTCCAGATGGTATTTGAATTAAGGCCGCTGAGGCAGCAGAAAGCTCTCACCCACGCAGCCCCTGACAAAGCCTTGGTGATATGGGGGCAGCGCTGCTCCCTCTCTGTGGCTCCCCCTCCCCTTAACCCCTCAATATTTTCTGGTAAAAGCAAATGCCAAAAGCTGCCATCCCAGGGTCCGCAAAGCACCTTTCCTAAAAGCAGCCTTATAACTCTTTCTGCTGCCAAAAAATATCTTTAAAAAGACTAGTTTTCCTTGTTTACTTGCGTTTCCTGCTCTCCTCTTTGCTCAGCCACATTTGATCTTGGAAAGAGCTCGAAGCTGAAATGTGTTCTTAAGGGCCAGAAGCTGTCAAGGCTTTTGGTGAGCAAGATTGATCGCGCCCAGACTTCCTTCAGAGCTTTGTTTGGAATAAAAGCAAGAAAACTGAAAAACCTCACATTTTCCAAAATAGCATCTCTATCTGTAAGGCAGTGCTCTGGGCTAGTCAGCGACGGAGGGCACTTTCTATCTAATTTCCACCCCGAGCCCCCTTCGATGCCAGCTTCAGAGAGGGAGTCCTACCCTTGCGCCTTGCACGGCCTTGCTTGTTTTCTGCATAGGGTTTTCTCCCGCCAACCTCTCTCCCCTTAGCCGTCAGAATGATTTATTTTCCTGCCACCGATGCCTGCCGGCCTGGGGGAGTCTGATCGCTTGGTCCATTTCAAAGGAAGCAAACGGGAATGATCATCCTCAGGGTTTGGGGGAAAAGAGATACCTTCAGATTTCTCTCTCAGCCTCCTCCCTTCTTGCTAGCTTGGTGGATTTTTAAAAAGTTATTTTTTTTTTTGGTATCTTAAAGGTGTTATCTTTTGAACCCTCCAGCACAGTCCAAGATGTGCTCAGTCTCAAGTCTCAGAATTGGAAAAAAAAGAGAGAGAGAGAGAGAGAACAGAGAAAGAGAAACGTTATCCTTCCTCCTTGGGTCGCCTTGTCTCACCTGCGGTGCCGTTTCCCACAACAGAACCTGAGTGCGAACATCCCTGGCGGCCAAGGAGCGGGAAGGTGGGGAGACCATCCGGGCTGCCAGGGAGCACTCACCGCATCTGAACCAACAAGCCCCCAGTCAGAGCGCCAAGGAGAAGGGGAGAAAAGGAAAAGAGAAAACCAGGCGCCTTCTCCCTCCCTGCTGCTAACTTCCAACAGACTTCCTGGAAAACGGAAATACTCACCGCACCCGAGCCCTACGGGTATGAAACCCAAAAAGCCAGGAGCCGCACACGCCTGCCCCGGGGCGGCATTTCTTTGGCTGGCCGCCGCCCTGGCTACAAGGATTTGAACACATGGACCTGGGGCTGTTGTCTTGCTTGGCACATGCATCTATCTCGAGCCACTCCTGAAAAGTTGATGGCGCAGGAAGATGGGGAAGCTTCGAGAGCAGCCTCCCGTTTTCCGCTTCCCTCTGGAGCCAGACGCAAAGCTGCGGTGGAAAAGCCGGCTAACAATGGGCCAGGGTCCGGGTCTGGGGGAGCGGACTCCGAGCTGGGCATTGGGAGGGGGGCGAGGGCCTGCGGATGTGGGTGGGGGGGGGAAGTGGACAGAGGCGAGGGAGGGGGAGAGGAGAGAGAAGGTGGAAAAAGAGGGAAAGACAGACAGAAGGAAGACAGAAACAGAGAGGAGATCAGTTCTGAGATCCAGGAAATGGTTTTGGAAAAGGCGGAGGAGAAAAAGAAAATAAAAAGTCCGGGGGGGGGGGGCCAAGAACCTCAGTCTCTCTCTCTCTCTCTCTCTCTCTCTCTCTCTCTCTCTCTCTCTCTCTCCTCTCTCCTCTCCTCTCCCTCTGCTCCTTCCTCCTGCCTTAGTAGAACTTATGTGCCTGGGATGGGGGGCCCTCGGGTGTCAAAACTTTGAAGATTAATGGATTACTTTGTTAATGACTGCAGGCGTCAGACTGAGGTGCTTAAATGATTTGTGAGGTGCGAGGCGTCTTCCCGACAGTCCCAAACAATGCGCGGGGTGTGCGGGGGAGGCAGAGGGCAGCCTCCGGCGGGACCAGCAGCGGGGCTCGCGCTCGCACACGCACACGCACGACCGAGCGCGCACGCAGGTCCTCGCCGCTGGGAAGGCAGGCAGGCACCCTCGCCCCCCGCACGACCGGGCATCCCCACCCACACCCGCATATATGTATTTTTGCCCAGAAAAAAGTGTAAATAAAGCCTCGCTGGCCCCCAATGAGGCGTTCCTTCCCGACTTTTTTGGATCAATCAAACAGACAGTGGCTTCTTTTGATTAAAGCCCAAATTGTCATTGGGCAGAAGCAATCATGTGACAGCCAATTCGGTCCAATTTCAACCTTGTCTCCATGAATTCAATAGTTTAATAGTAGCGCGGTCCCCATACGGCTGTAATCAGTGAATTAGAAAAAAAACACCCCAGCAGCGATCTTCTATGATAGATTTTTTTTCCCTCCGCACTCGCCTTTTTCCTGGGCCTCGCCCCCCCAAAGCCCCTCCAGAAGAGGGAACTTTTTCTCCGAGGGGGCTCCAAGGAGAAGGCCATGAATTACGAATTTGAGCGAGAGATTGGTTTTATCAATAGCCAGCCGTCGCTCGCTGAGTGCCTGACATCTTTTCCCCCTGTCGCTGATACATTTCAAAGTTCATCAATCAAGACCTCGACGCTTTCACACTCGACACTGATTCCTCCTCCTTTTGAGCAGACCATTCCCAGCCTGAACCCGGGCAGTCACCCTCGCCACGGCGCTGGCGGCCGCCCCAAGCCGAGCCCCGCGGGCAGCCGCGGCAGCCCAGGGCCCGCCGGCGCCTTGCAGCCGCCCGAGTACCCCTGGATGAAGGAGAAGAAGGCGGCCAAGAAAACCGCGCTGCCGCCCGCCTCGGCCGCCGCCACCACCGGCCCTGCCTGCCTCGGCCACAAAGGTCAGTCCAAAGACGTGGCCCCAGGTCCCGGGACCCCGGTCCCCTTCGGGGCTGCCCCGAGAGCGGTTCTGGGGGGGAGGGGAGCGTGGGCTGGGAGAGAAGGCGGAGAGGGAGAG